AGAGAAGGAGAGAGACCAGGGAGGGTGAAGCTGTCAGCATGATGAAAAAGAGTGCAATGCAAAAATAAAAGTGAGTAATTAACAAGTAACAAAGCTTTGAACTGCTAGGCTGTACTATTTTTGAACTAGCTAATTTAGTGCCATGAGACATAAACGACCCTTACCTATTGAAACTGGAAGATCTGATGCATGAAGGAAAAATGATGCGTTCTATATTGTGTTGGTGTAGTTTGAGTTTGAATCGTTTGTACCCAAGAAGAGAAATACATAGAGCCTTTTAATGTTAAAACAGAAAAATTCTGGTAGCAAATGTGACTACACTTTGGCAATCATATTAAATGACTGTAATATCTGTTATGTGTGTGTGGTACCTTCTATTTGGATTTGTCAGCAGGGGGTGCCATTTGCTTTATTTCTAGCTAGATTATTTAATTGTACATCAATACGAAATTGCTAAAAAGCCTTGTGGGGAAAAAATGTTAATGAATCTTAACCTTTGATTTGTATCTAAATCTTATTTAATGCAAAAGACCAAACGCGACTTTAATTTCTAGCCCGCAGGACTAATACTGGGAAATATGCATAGCCTATCTATTAATTAATATTTAATAATTATGCTAAAAATTATGTGGGGTCCCCCCCCCCAACACTTTGCCACAAGTGGTCTAAGTAATCCATCAGCTTGCACAGTTTTAGCAAAACTGAAGCCGCCTAATAATAAGCAAAAGTAGTGCCGGGTTTTTGAACGAATCTTCTAAGTGAACGACTTATTCTCGTGCACTTAAATGCAGTGCGTAATATTTTTCTATGTAAAAATGACTGATGATAATACACAATATAGACAAGCATTTTAAGAAGGTTTCGGTCGTGATTCGGGAATTAGGCCTACAGTTATGAGTGAATTATCAATTTAACACGCCACCTACTGGCGTAAATGACTAATTACAAATACACAATTTAGAAACGAATTTTAACCAAATATGGGCCTAATAGAAGTTGTATCAGTCGTGAATGGCACTCTCAGTGTTTTTCTTTTTTTTAATGGAATCATTTACTCGTTATCTGATGTAAAGGTCCACTGACTGGACGAACCACTGAAAGAATTTGAACGAATCTTTTTGGTGCACGAATTCAAAAGATTCGAAGCACTGGGATGAATCAATATCCCCACCCTGTTCATGCAGGGGTCGATTCGGTACCAAATAAGGACATGAGCTCGACCGCTTGAAGTGACGTCAGTGAGATGGCTGGTGGAATAAAGGAGTCTTTCTCTCAGAGGCGGGAGCAGAGCTGCAGGGGGTACACATAGAGTCTGCTGAAATTGAGAATTAACTGTAGTGTAGACCGTAATCTCGTTACATAACCCATCACTGAACGCGCCGTTCGTCCGTTCATTCGCGTTAATCCGTTTCTCATCAGAGCGAAAACACTTGTGGCGTTCGTCAGAGCGAGGGAACTCAGATACATTTATGTTTTCTCAAACTGAGGATAACTACATTAATTTTATTGAATTTTTTTATTTAAAATAATCTTCCTTATAGTGTATATGCTTCTGTCCTTGTATCTATGTCCAGCAGTGTGGTGATGACGACCCGCTGACGCGGTTTCCACCACAACGCCAGGGAAGAGAGAGAGAGAAAGAAAGAAAGAAAGAGAGGAATCAAAGCGACAGAGCACAAGACTCACCTTGTTTGGGTTTCAAAGCCGAAGCTGAAGAATATTTCCAAAGATATCCAAGCGCCTCTGCAGACATGGAGGCGGCGAGTTTGGCACACGGGGTCGCGAGCTCGTCAAGCCCGCTAGAGGGCATGATCAAGAACGTGAGCCTGGAGTCGCTCCAGCTGTGCGAGAGAGACGGTAAGAAACCGCAGCAACACAGTGAGTGACTGTAAACTTGACAGGTTTATCCACGCCTGTTCTCCCCTGTTAACAAACCTTTTTAAAGGACCATGTTTATTTTGAAATGTGTTGAGCGCTTAAAGAATGTAGTAAAAAGGGATTATTCCTTGCTGCAGAAAAAAATCGCCTGTCACGTCCATGAAAAGCGGAATATGAGACATGGCAGGCTGCCTTTGTGTGTGCTGGCTGTGGTATCTGATAGTGAAATCTCTGCTGTCTGTGCGAGACTTTCGTTTCAGCACCATGGACACTACCCTCTTGCAGTCAGCTACCTTTTCTCTTGCAGTCTCGTTTAATTGTCATGCGCTCATTTAAGCTGAAACCAACAAACTGGTATTTTAAACCAGTAGAAAAAATAATATAAATATCAAAATAAAATAATCATAATTTCAAGAGCCCTAAAGCAGTAAAGGATGCTGATGTGGCAGGGGGTGAGGCTTTTTGACAGCATCATGTTGGCAGAAGGTGAAGTCAGGTGCTTGCACACACACACACACACACACACACACACACACACACACTGAGCAGGACACACAGTGAGGAATCTGCTGTGGCTTTTAAAGGTATACAGGCTTGATATAGAGGCTTACTTGAGGACAAAGTGTTTGCCTTTCACCTGTTTCCATCTCATTTTGTTTGAGTGGAATTGCAGGTCTATAAATGCAAATCCATTTTAACTGGTGGAGTCACCTTTGTCTTTTTAACCCTCTGGGGTCCGAGGGTGTTTTGGGGCCTGGAAAAGTTTTGACATGCCCTGACATTTGTGCTTTTTTCAGTTGCTTACAAACATTTGAATGTTTAAAGTTTAATAACACTGTAATCAGCACAAACTGGGCTACAATAATATGTGAGCAGCATGTATTTACGTGATTGTGTTTCTGAGAAAACAACGTTTATGCGTGACCCCAGGAGGTTAATAAGCGTTACAACCATCAGTGTTTCAATAGTGAGTGTATGTCTGAAAATGTCAAAATGTGTCATCCTCTTTAAGAATGACTGAAGCAACAAACTGCAAATACGCATTTTGGCAGGCTTCAGAAGAATGCAGCGTTCCTCTAAGGCTAGCACAATGACTCACCAGGTTTTTGAGAGGGAGTCAGAGTTTTTTTATCTTCCCTACATGAATGTATTTGAATCAGCATTAAATAGCCTGAATAGACTGCTGTGCTGGCAGCACAGTGCCTCTTATCTCTTTGAGTTACCACATTTACACATCAGCGCTCATTTCATTTTGTTTAATTGCAACAAACTGAGGGAGTGCATAATGCACTGTTTTTGAGGTACTAATTGAACTCTCTAATTAGTTAGCATGAATGTGCTTCTCAGACATGAAGGAAAACATTCTCTTTAAACATGGACCAGACTTCTCATCTGTTCAGCTGTCCTAACCAGACACAGCTGTATCTGCTTTTAAACACCCTTATAAGATCTTTGCAAGATGATGTTTTGTATATTTTTATCAAAAAACTGATTTCAGTTAAAGTGCATTCAGATGATGATTGAAACCACTAGCGTTGGCTAATGCTAACCCATCAGCTGAGTGCCGGTGTAAATATCTAAATCAGATTAGCTAGAAACCTGAATCTGTTCCATGCAGGACTTTGAACAACCTTGGGGATTCCGGACTGCAGTCTGTGACGCCTGAACAAATATATTTAGAGAAATGTTGTACAAATAACAAACTTTTTAAGATGTTGGAGTAAGCCTTTCTAGTAAGGACCTGGATTTGTAATGAAGCGGTTGTAGATTTGATCCCAGTTAGAGGCAACCGGTGAACTGTAAACTTTCGGTGCCCTTGAGCAAGGGATATGAGTATACAGATGCAATATGAAGGCCAGACTATGATGTATGTGATGAAATATAAGAGAATTAGCTAATGTTAAACTCTCTAAACAATTCACAACTTTTTAAAAACAAAAACATCACATTCCCAGTTAAGGAAAGACACTTGTTTTTAATTGATATTGAATTACAGACAGCACATGCTTACTTAATAGGTAGACTGCTTGTAATATCATCCGTAATTAAATGCAAATATTTAATTCTGTATGATTAAGTGCTGTAATGATTATATGTTGCTTGAGGCTTGACTTAAGTTCATTTTCCCTTCCCTAGAGAAGCTTTGGGCTCATAAACTAGAAAACAGCAGCCTGCTGTACCATTTTATTATGTGCACAGCACTCGTTGTGCGCTCTGCAGCTCATCTCGGCAAAACTTAATTGCAAAGTAAATGTGTTATCTTTATTGCAGGCGGAGAGAACCAGATTATGCTCAGAGCAAATTTTCCCACACACATTTGGAGCTCAGATGCCAAGAGAATCATGTAGAAATATGATTTGATTAGATTTTTTACTCTTATTAGGTAAATGAAATTGCACACAGACTACAGCAGGCTTTTGTGGTAATTATTTGAAGGGCTTGCTTTAGATTAACATTAATATCCTTTTAGGTTAAAAGTACAGTTATTTAGTGTAGATAGATATTTATAATAATAAATAACCAAGCTTGTTCGTGTTAGTTTGGTGGCAGGTTCTGTCATTCTTGCAGTAAAGATCATAAAACGTATAAAGCCTGGCATATAAAATAAGTCAGAAAAAAATATTCAGAAAAATAAATTTTTAAACCAAACTGCAATCTTCATTTCTATTGATTATTAATAATAATATAAATAAAGAAATAAATAAATATGAAAGACATTGTTATAGTGAAGATTTATCAGTGCTCAATATATAGATATATCTCTTTGATTTTTACTATAACCATGTTCTTGCTTCCATAATTTTTTACATATATAAAGTTTTAGACTATAAATGACACCATAATTTGTAATTAGCCTGGGGCTGAAAACTGTTAAAAATGTAAATTTACTGCCATGCACAGCTTGTTTTTCTGCAAATGACAAACGTGTGTATTAATATGCAATTCTGTGTGCATTTTGGAGTGGATCCAGAGCTCATTAAACAAACTCTAAACCCTGCTAAACTAGCATTCTGCCACAATTCAGAGACATTTGCAGTTTGAACCTGCAATCTCGCTCTGTGTTGGAGCTCTTTCAGGAGAAAAGCATTGTTTTCATACACAGGGACCAATACTATTTTGTAGTCACATGTTGCAGTGCTGTTTGCACATAAAGACCTCACTGTAGTTTTGGATTTGTGAGTGTGTGGTTTGATTTGCAGTCTGTAGACTCTGTACAGTATGGACATTTCTGTTTTTTCTGTTATGTAATACTGCAGTTTTCTGGGAAAGCTGCTCACACAAGCTGCTCCCCTGATGGATATTCTTGGTTGTTTAGGTGTTTGTGAAGGAGATATTTGGAATGGAGTTTGGTGATAGATTTATTTCAGATGTCTGATGTTTCAGTAGGTTCTTCTGTGTGTGCGTGGCTTTAAATAGACTGTGGTCCCGCAGGAGGCTTTTAGACATTATTGGAGTCGATATAGTACCAGACGCTCCACGCTTTTCCTTCTTCGTGTCTTACTCTCTTATGATTCAGCAGGTAGTTCTCTGTCTGTGCTTTCCTACATGTTTTGAGTCTCACATTGTCTAATATATACTTCAGTTCAAAAGTTTGTGGTTGGTTCATTATTTGTCTTAAGGCTGCTGTTTCTGTTTCTCAAACTTTTCAACAGTAATACACGATAAATAAATGGTTTTATCTATCAGCTTTTCTGAGAAAAAAAAGTTTTTCTATTTGAATTATATATAACATCTAGAGACTATGAAAATAATTTCTCGTCCAGCAGCTCTGACTTTTGTTTACGATCTTAAAACTTAAGTGCTGATCACTGGGCATGTAAAGCTTCTGCCCATCTTCCTCTTTAAATTATGCTACATTGATTAATGGCCTTGATTTGTTTCCATGGAAACTGCCGTCTTTGTTAAAGCATGTCGAAAGACCTGTGGGTGTGTTTTGAAGCTGGCACTTTTGTAGAGAGATGCGTACTGCTTAGGGCTGCACGATGTATTGTTTCAGCATCGATATCGCGATGTGCGCATCCACGATAGTCACATCACAGGATGTGCGATGTTTAGTATACTGATTGTTATATTTATACTGATTGTTTTCTTTGCTCACACACAGACACGGTGTCTACACCGGACGCGACAGCTGTACAGAGATACCCATTTTAAATACATTTAGTAGCAGAGCTACTGCACGCGATTTTCAGTGCTGGAAATCCATTTAACCTTTGTTGAAACTGCCGCGTCGTCGCGGAGAGTGCAGGTCACGGTTGCTTAGCAACGGCAGACGCCACGAAAGCGCAAGCTCCCGAGTGCTTTGGAGAGAAGGAGAAAGCGGCGCGGCTGGCGTTTTCCACGCGTTTTTAGGCGCGACATGTGAACTGCCCCAAAGTCTGAACCGCGACAAAGCGACTGTTGCCAATCATTTGAACTTTGTGTCAGTACATCATAAAGAGAACGCGGCATCAGTTTACTGTCGGGGATTTGTCGTACCGCGCCGCATCCAGAGTAGACAGCATCACTGATTATAATGGGTTCATTGTATTTTGTCGCATTGCGCCGCGCCACTCGCGTCCAGTGTAGACACGGTAAGAGCCACGCAGATGCACGTGAACACTGAATTCTGTTCACTTCTGCGTCTATTTGTGCCTGAAATACTGTGCTCAGCAAGTATCCTTGTAAACACAGTGGCTTATGGCTTAGGTGAAGGGAAACAATTGAGAAAGAAAATGGATGTGTAACAGTATATTGGTTTACAGCAGTTTAATGTTCCTGAGGCTTTCTGTGTTGTGTATGTTAATCAAACAACAAAACAAAGAAAAATCACTTTTGTAGCTTTAACACAGATTTATTAGATTTAATTTATACAGTGAAGACTATGCAGTGTTATTTTACATTCGATTATTCAATTTCTGTACCTGAATACTGTTAGACTTACCTGAAAAATATAAAGCACTGCTTATTTCATTTGCATCTTTGTTCTGTTATATTTATCTATGCTTGTAATTTGTTTATTTCCTATGCTGATTTACTGGCCTACAAAATCACCCCAATCATTGATTATTTCCCCCCACAAATAAACTATTCAAGTCATGTGGTGATTTATTTTTTCATATTGCAATATATATCGCAGAAAAATAAAATATCGCAATGTGAGTTTTTTCCAATATCGTGCAGCCCTAGTACTGCTGGTTTAGTACTTGTTTTTAGGTACAAATAAAGTAATCTCATTTATACAGACTTGCTTCATGATTTTGTTGAGAGTTTTATTTTAAATGATCCTTTGACCAAAGCTTGGATAAGATTACATCAACATTTGCTGGAAGTACAATTGTTTGTGTATGCTAAACGTATGCAGCATCAAACCAGTTTAAAGCGTGAAGGAAAGCAGATTCTGTAGTGAGAATATGTCAGAAAAAAGCAGAAGTTGATAAACAGACATCTGTTGTTTGTGTAAGGGAGGCTGTTGGCAGAGGCGGGGTTCGGAGGGCTTCTTCTGCCAGACCCAGTGTTGTGGGAGGGCTAGTGTAGTACAGGAATATATCTATCTCAGCTGAGCTCAACGTTGTGAGTACTATTATTTTTCAATAAGACATTTAGCTGTTTTGTTTGTGCATTTACCTTCTTGTGCATTTGTATTCTTCCTTTTTTTTTTTTTTTTTTACTTTTTTTTGTTTTATCTCAATTACATTTTGTATTTTTTATTCTAAGACAGAAACAGGCTTTCACGGATTGTTCTGTGGTAAATAAAGCAGAAGAGTTCTGTATCAAAAATACAATAAAATAGCAATATTGTAAAACATTATTATAATTTAAAATATCTGTTTTCTATTTCAATAGAGACATTTTTCAAATGTAATTTATTTCTATGATGGCAAAGCTGGCTTTTCTCTGTTACTCCAGTTTTCAGTTTCACATAATCTTTCATTTTATTATGCTGATTTGATGCTCAAAATACACTTCTATTATTATCAGTTTAAAACATTTGCTTATTATTTTCTGGAAATTGTGATACACTTTTACAGGATCCTGTGATTAATAAAGTTAAAAAGAACAGCATTTAACTGAAATAGAATTTGTTTTTGTAACACAGTAAATGTCATTACTGTCATTTGTTATCAATTTAATGTCCAAACTTTTGAATGTTAGTATAACCTCAGTGTTCAGCAATTCATAATATTCAGATATTTATCCTTCAATAAACATGGATCTTTTGTGCTGATTTTTCAGTAATACTCTTTAAGTCCATATTAGAGTAATTTCTTTCCAGGGGAATATATTAGCAGTAGTAAAGAATTCAGTTTAGGAGAGAAAGGGCTCAGTGTTTAGTGAACAGTGAGCTGAGGGTGCTTATTGTACAGTAAAGCTTTATCATGACTCTATTCATGGTTTCAAGAGGTGGTTCAATGTTCAATGTGTTTTGTGTGTGTGTGTGCCATTCAGGAATCCCACATTCCTGTTGTGCATTTCTAGACACTAAGATAACACAGTGCCCACACTGTAGCCAACAAAGCACATTTCTAACTCTGTGTGATTGTGTATGTGGATCAGTGTAGCAGTGTTTATAGAGAAAAATTTAATATTTCAAACAAAACAAAGGATTTTAGACAATATGCTTTCTTTCTTTCTTTCAGGTAAGGCTGAGGATCCTGGAGTGGTAGGAATGGAGTTACCCGTTGCTCGCAACATCAAGATCAGTAACATCACTTGCGACTCCTTTAAGATCTGCTGGGATATGGACCCTCACACCACAGAGAAGATCACACATTACTTCATTGACCTTAACAAGAAGGAGAACAAGAACTCCAACAAATTCAAACACAAGGTAATCAATGATTCAGTTCACAACACAAATTATTTGAATTATTCTGCATAGTCTTGAGTATTGCCTGGGGTTTCAAAGTTTGTAATAGTTTATAATACAAATGCCTATTTATGAGAGCATTTTAGCTAAATTTCATTCTGTTGTTCATCGTCATAAAAAAGATTCAGATGATTAAATGTCATTAATTAGTCAATTCATTCCTTGATGACTCTCTGTCTTTAGGATGTGCCTACGAAGCTTGTTGCTAAGGCAGTCCCGTTGCCCATGACAGTGCGAGGCCATTGGTTCCTGAGTCCACGGACAGAATACACAGTTGCTGTGCAAATAGCATCCAAACAGACTGATGGAGATTACGCTGTATCAGAATGGAGTGACATTGTTGAATTTTGTACAGCAGGTAAATAACCCAAACACACATACAGATTAAAAAGAATGTAAGATGAAGATTGTACAGCACATTTGATACACACAGGTAATTAAAAGTGCTTTAAATTGGCATTAAAAGAGAGAAAAAAAATACAATTTGAAAAAAAGTGATAAAAATAATATGTAAAATCGCTTAGGAATATAAAAATGATTGAGGAAAAATGCTTTAAATACCTAAATACCAATAGGAGAATAAAGACATGGATCTTTTAAATGTTGTGCTGCTGATCAGCTTTTTATGTGGTTAACAAGACTAAAGAAAATTGATGACAAATAAAAACATTTCCTTCAATTTTCTAGATTATTCCTCGGTGCATTTGACGCAGCTGTTGCAGAAGGCTGAAGTCATTGCTGGCAGGATGCTCAAGTTCTCCGTCTTTTACCGGAATCAGCATGAGGAATACTTCCAACACTGCAGGTGATTAAAAAAAAAAAACCTCTGTAAAAAATGCTTAGTATATGAAATAGGGAGGAAAAAGAGAAAGTAATGCTGGTTGAGGAAGATAATGACAATCTTTCTTTACTGCTGAGATTCAGATCGGCATTAGAAAGTAAACAGCTCCCTCTTGTGGAATAATTTTCTCATTAATTAGCTGGGTTTACTTTCTTCTTTTTGTGAACTGCATTTATATTTTCTCTTACACTAATGTTCAAAAATTTGGGGTCAGTATGAGGGGTGGGGGGTATAATGCTATTTCATGCATTCTGAGTTATTTACACTGTTAAAGAGTTGGATTCTCATGCTAAACATGGCCAAAGTTTAAAAAAAGATTTGGACTTATGATGGAGTATTTCTGTGCCAAATGCACTCCTTTCGGGTTTGTAAAAGTTTCAGAAAGTTTTTATTCAATCATGGTCCTTCGTGACGTCATGAAGAAATTAATACTTTTATCAGCAGAGATGCTTTAAATTGATTACAGGTGAATGTAAAGGCATTTATAATGTTACAAAAGATTTCTATTTCAAATAAATGCTTTTCTTTTTATTCATCCTATCATGATTTCCATAAAAAAGAACCACAATTGTTTTCAACATTGATAGTAATAAGAAATGTTTCTTGAGCACCAAATCAATAAATTATATAGAAAACATTTATTTTAAATTGTAGTAATATTTCACAATAATTCTGTTTTGCTGCATTTTTTAAACAAATGCTGCCTTAGTGAGCATAAGGGACTTCTTTCAAAAACGTTAAAAAATCTAACTGACCACAAATGTCTGAACAGTAGTATAATGAAAATATAAAATGTGATTAAGGGAGTTTAGAAATGTCTTTTTTTTTCTCGCACAGAGATGTTCTTGGCGGTCGAATGATGCCCTCGGTAAAGGATAACAGCGGTAGTCACGGTTCACCTCTCAGCGGTAAACTGGAGGGGATCTTCTTCAGCTGCAACACTGAGTTTAACACAGGTCAGCCGCCCCAGGATTCCCCATACGGCCGCTTCCGCTTCCAGATACCTGCAGAGGTTCTGTTCACCCCTGATACGCGCCTCTACTTCGGGGACTTCTACTGCATGTACACTGCCTATCATTATGTTATCCTCGTCCTGGCTCCGCGGGGCTCGCACGGAGACCTTTACTGCAGAGATCACCTTCCGGAGCTGGATGTGACGAACAACCGCTTTCTGACACGTGTCTGTGGGGAGGATGGGCAGGTGGTGTTTCAGCATGCGCAGGATGTGATTCTGGAGCTGATTTATACTGAGCCGGTGCCGCTGGCACAGGGGACTGTCTCTCAGATCAGCGGCCACCAGTTGATGAGCTTGTCAACTGTGAATGCTAAGAAAGACCCCAGCTGCAAGACCTGCAACATCAGCGTTGGGCGCTAACTTGGGCGAACATTCACACACAGACCCAGCTGTGCATATAACAAGAAGACCTCCTGAACAACCTTTGAATGCTACGTTACAAAACAAGATACAGATGAACTCCAAGACAAATGGCCCCAGAATCCTTCAGATATACTCAAACCCCTTTGGGGGGCCTCACAGACCCCCAGCTAATGCTAGAAAATTATATCTTTGCTCAATGAACTGAGAAGTGTTATAAAACGTGCAACAGAAAAAATAGAAAAGAGTAAGACAAAAAAATGATTCTATGAGCTAAAATGAGTTAAATTTCCAAAACCTTCAATCCCACTGTGAATTTTTCATGTTTTTTGATGCTTTTTCTGATCGATATTCAGAGCCCAGCTCTGTTTATCTCCAACCCGTTTGTGACTTTTTTTTTAACACACAGTGACTCTCAGACAGGGATGTCTTGCTCAGTTTCCACTGGGGCCATCAAGCTGCCCGTCTCTCTTATTTTGGACTTGTGCTGCATGAAGTCTGATCCTTTAAGCATCTACATGCCACCTCAGCCTTTAAACCTTATATGGGGATTTTCTTCATTTACACAGATCCTGTGGTCTGCGTGCCCACTGAGCCTCTATTCACCCTTGCCATTCGCCTCTGAGGACTTCTACTGCATGTATGCTGCCTAGCATTACATTATCCAGATGGATGTGACAAAAAACAAATGCTTTAAAAGTTTTACGCCAACTGATCCTTTAAGCACCTACATGCCACCTCAGCCTTTAAACCTTCTATTTATCTTCAGTCTTTTCATTTTCTACTCTGAACGCAGTTCTCCTTTAACCTTTCTTACTCATTAAACATTGTTATTTTGATGTTCTTGTTTCATTGTTCTTCTTTTGTTTTTAGAGACTGTGTGATGCAGTATTGATGGTGTATGATGATTCCTGATAGAACATCAAGCAGTAAGTAGAACTGATTTGTATAAGACATATCCTAATCATATCCACTGCAGGACACAACTATGTCCAGGTTCTTGAGGAGTTTGCAGTGTTCTATCAGAGACTGATGTTCTTGCACCCTCTGGTGGGGAAAAAGTTCAATTTCACAGATGCATGCCTAGAATTTTGTGCTGTACTGTATCTGGACTTGTTACTTACTCTTTAAGATCCAAAAATAGAAGCCAATCACAGCAGACATTGATGCACAATATTTTTTTTTTTTGAGAACTTTTAGCTGCCAGTATCCTAAAATCTAAAGTCAACATGTAGCTTTTGCTCAAAGTAAAAAAAAAATAATTTAATAAAAATGTTTTGTTCACTATAATAAATTCTACACTGTATGTACTCATACTGTTCAAACGTTTGGGGGCATACCAATGCTTAGTTTATTAGATCGACAATACTGAAATATTGTAATACAGTAATATTATGAAACATTATTACAATTTAAAATCACAGTTTTTTATCTGAATATATATTAAAATGTAATTTATTATTGTGATGGCAAAGTTTAATTTTCAGCATTACTTCAGTTTTCAGTGTCACATGATCCTTCAGAAATCATTTTATATGCTGATTTGGTGCTCAAGAAGCATTTATTAATATTATCAATGTTGAAAAGAGTTGTAGAAACAGTGATGCATTTTTTTCAGGATTTTTTCAGCATTTATTTGAAATAGAAATCTATTTAAATCATCAATTTTATTATTGTCATTTTAAAGTATTAATTTCTTTAAAAAAAAATCTAACAAACCCAAACTTTTGAACAGTAGTGGAAAAAAAATAAAGCCTAGTCAGTGTGTTTTGTGTTTTCTAGGAGTTCTGATTATATATGAGGGTGTGTGTGTGATTGTGTTTCTCTGCATGTTTTGTCTGTATATAAGTAAGTGTGTGAACTGTTTAGATTCGAGTGTGGTGTGTCAGCTGGAAATATGACTGTTTGACTGACAAAGCAGCACCTGTTTGCTCAGTTCAAAAATAAATAAAGAGTCTGTCATACCGCTGTGCACTTCATTAGTGAAGAAGGGATGAAAAAGGAACAAAAAAAAACTGTTTATTCACTCTCTACACATTCATTACTTTTATTGCCTTACTCTAATACTCTGTAGAAAAATGTTAGTTAAAATTTGGACTTATGCACAGGACAGTATCCCAAATCAAGTTCTCGCTGTGTGAATGTGCCTCAGAATGACAGACATGTTGAGTAAATATTGTTTTTTTATTGTTGCCATGTTTATGAATACCAAATGTGACTGTTCATTAAAGATAATTCCGAATGAGACTACTGTGTGTGTTTAGTGAGCCAGTCTTTGGGAAGTCTTACTATAAAAATGATCATGTGTATGCCTTTAAATTTTATAGGCTTTAAATATTTATAGATTGTAGTTTGTAGGTTTCCACTTTTATTTAGCTCATCAAATAAAAGCATTTTAAAAACTGGTTTAAAAGCCGAACAAAATATAGACATGTACAATTAAATGCAAAAAAGAAAAAAAGACATTAAATAAATACCCCTAATCTCCATTATGGAATACTGTGTAAGTACCTACACATATTATTGTTAAACAAGCACGAAAAGATACAAAATGACCAAGACCACCATTTTTAAAATTCTCTTAAAATATTTATAAAATCTTCAATTTATTCATGCCTTTTTCTGTCCCTTCAGGTTTGTGCATAAAATATTCAGACCAAAGAAAGATGAAACTGTTGGCTATTACTGACATGAGTACTGATTCCTATGGATGCCTACACACTGCAAAATTTGTGAGCATCTTAGAAAAGATAATAATAAGACGAAGAAAATTGTAAAATCTTACAATGAAAATATTTTACATATATTTTCTACTGTTTTGCTCTTGCCTTGTCAGCTATGAGGCAGCTAGCATGTGAAAGTGGTTCTGTGTTGAAGGTGAATAGCAGAGAAGTTCTGCTTTTCTGGGTCTGGGAAAATGGCTGAGAGGAGCAGAAAGTTGAGTAGCCTTCTTGATCCCAAGATGAACTTGATCCTTATTATTATAAACATCTGACTTGCTATCTCTTACGAAAATAATAATAATATGGGAATATACGGCAAAATATAATGTTATATATTACATAACACATTTCCATATATGGAATTTAATAGACTTAGACTTAGTATAATGTGTGCTAAATTGTCATTGTTGTTGTATTGTAATAAACTGACATAATGCAAAATTCACTGCATTGTTCTCATTAAATCACTGAAAATGAAAATTATAAACATGAACAATCTAACTAATAAGATTTTTTTTCAATCAAATTTAAAAATTTGAATATTAAAGTTAAAGTAAATTTTTTTAATCAATTTGACTTGACTTATGGATGCATAAAAGGTGTTATGTTTTTCCAGTGGTTGTGTATGTGATGGCCATCACCACAGACAAACGGACACAGTCTTTGTGGTGTATTCATTTAAATAACAATAATAAACTGCAGAATTTAAAGGGGTCATATGATGCGATTTCAATTTTTCCTTTCTCTTTGGAGTGTTACAAGCTCTTGGTGCATAAAGAAGATCTATAAAGTTGCAAAGACTAAAGTCTCAAATCCAAAGAGATATTCTTTATAAAAGTTCAGTCAGCCACGCCTACCTAAAACGGCTCGTTCTAACACGCCCCCAACATATCTACCTCACTATGTGGGAAGATTTACATAACGCCGCCCAAATGTTCACGCAAAGAAAGAAGGTGTAACTTTTATTCTCACTGTAGTATTGTTGCTGCAGCCATATCCTGAAGACGCTGTGTGCTTCGTTGTGAAAGCGAAACTACTTTGTTTGGTCTTCCAAAAGAAGACGATATCCGCTTAGTCATGCCTAGAGCTGATCTGTGCTGGTCTGAAGGAATACAACAGTATGGCGAGGGGCGTAACATTTCCGTCTCACGCTTCCTTCTCCACGCTTGAGGTATTCGGCCAATCACAACGCACTGGATAGCTGGCCAATCACAGCACACCTCGCTTTTTCAGACCGATGAGCTTTGTAAAAATCGACGCGTTTCAAAAAGGCGGGGCATAGAGGAGAAACAATAATGTACAGTATGTGGAAAATAATGTTTTTTTTTTTTACTTTAAACCTAATAAACACATTTCATTACACCAAATACACAAAATAATGTTATTTTTAGCAGCATCATATGACCCTTTTAAACTATATTCTCTCTGTCGCACACACTGATTATTGAATGCTGCCCTCTACCGGTCACTTAAAGTTTCCTTTGTCATTGAAAGAACTTAGAAAAAAACGTTTTGCTAAACTGTAAAGAAAGAGTGTCCAGATATACAATAAACGTACGTTTAAACGACACGGTCTTGTATAAGCTCTTTCAGGCTTCCTCCAGCTGTGTCTTCGGGACAAACATTTCACATCTGAAAGTGATTTCACACACTGACGCTGGTGGGAGGATTCAACACAAACTGGGGACTCAACGGGAGTCGGTCTAAGCGCACTTTACACCACTCAAACCCGGGACACCATTGCCTCTACCATGATTTTAGTTAAATTCGTGTGCGCCATCATAACCAGGTCTTTATTTATTCTGGTCTCTCTCATCGGCGTCTGGAGAGTGAAAACTGTGAAAAATGACAACATGTACTGGTTACTGACTGTCCTTTACCTTCCTCTGGTCGTGGAGATGATCATCACTTTAAAACGAAGGAAAGGGAAAGACTACAAATGGTGAGTGATACACTTTCCATTTACATTTCAACAAATGAATATACACGATTTACAGTATTGTCAGATTCACTGATCTTGCCAACAGCTGTTGATCATTTTCTGCTGGATGACTCACTCTTCTTGGTCCAAATAACTTGTATTCAATATTTAGCATAATTTCGGTGTTTATGTGGCTTTTATTTGACTTCTTTAGTGGTAGCTTGTTCTTAGGTTTCAGTTACATTTTTAATTCAATTTTCCTAAAAAGTTATCGACATTCCTATCTCCCTCCCTCCCCCTCACCAACATCCTGCTAGACCTATTGTTACTGCTGACACAGTAACACACAGGGTGTTTGTGAAAAATACTAGTGGTCTAGTATAATCTGAGTGGTCTCCAGCAGTGACCCTAACGTTGGCCCTGAAAGGAACATTCAAAAAAATAGCATTTATTATTTTGTTGTTCAGTGTAACTTCTATAAAAGTGATTTAACCATCTTCTGTTCTCTTTTAGGTTTTCGCCAGCCATCCTCTTCTTCCTCATCAGCATTATTCCATCCATATGGCTTCTAGA